TGAGAGTATACAGTTGCCTAGACACTTGAGAGATACAGTGATACAGTGCATCTTGTGAGGTTCTGTTGCTTTTGATTCACCTCTTGAGCTGATTGATTGTCTTGCCATGTTTTGAAATGCTTGGATGATTTCCATAAGTATCTGGTTTCTCTGACTCTTTGCATGTTGGATGTTGTCTACTCCTTTTTTTGTTTGTTTGATGACGTGGCCTCTTTGAGCCGATGTGGTGTTCTGATGTCCATGTTTCATGGTCGGGCAGAGGAGCTCGGCAATATTGAACTTACTGCTTGGTTAGGCTGGTAAACCTTTAACCGAGTCAGCAGATTGGTGAGGGACAAGTCGGCAACTCGGCTGGCTAGTACAGAATCTAATATTGATAAAATAAACCATATATTAACCAAACAGGGGTGAAAGACACCCGTATTCTCTTGGAATTTTTTTCTGAAATAATATTTTTTTTTAAAAAAATTACAAGAATGATCACTGGATTGATTGTCTTGCCATGTTTTGAAATGCTTGGATGATTTCCATAAGTATCTGGTTTCTCTGACTCTTTGCATGTTGGATGTTGTCTACTCCTTTTCTTTTCCCAGGATTCATTGAGTATTGTGTAAATCTGTTTGTTTTCTTGTTTGTATTCTTGTTTCTGTTTCTGCATGCTGTGTCACTCTCTTTGATGTCTGTGGAATTGTTCCTTGCTCTGCTTTTTGATTTTGCCCAGGAGTGCAAAAGGCTAAGTGTGGGGAAATTTGATGAGTCATTATTTTCCCCTATTTTCTTACCTTTCTGTACTTATTTTAATCTCTGATTTGCGCTTAATTGTTGATTATCTGCACTGTTTTCTATTTGGGCTTTAATTGGACCGGTAATTCATATTTTAACTAATTTGAATTTTCTGAATCTAATTATTCCAAATTTTACAATACATAGTGAACAGTACACACGAAAATTTGAAATGAGATAAGATAACATGCAGAGAAGTAAAGTGTACAGCATAAGGGATCAACTAGCCAATATACATCATCCAATGAAACATACACACACCCCCACACTTATTCAAGAACTTATTCCCAAAACAATTCCAAAGCTCCAAAACTCCCTAAGGTTAAGGTAATCATGGTTTTTCACTTAAGGCTTGTAATGAGCTTCAAACAAGAAAAAGGAAAATAGGCTCAGCAGGGGTTATCAGAGGAGTTAATTCAAGGTAGGCTTATTTGGCCAGAGGCTTATCAGAACAAAAATGCCTTAATCATATCCAAACATGCATGTGAGTCAAGAAGTATCAAACAGAGTCAAGACAAGGCAAATGTGCAAGCAATCAAGAGGGTATATCTGTCACAATTAAAACAAACTCTCAAACCTCAAAATCATCTTTCCAAGAAGAGAAAAAAAATAGGGATTTCAAACCATATAGTATCAAGAAACTCCTATCCAAGAATGAAGTAAGTTCCTACAAACTATCAAAACCCAGAAATCACAGAGAAACATGCAAAGCTGTACAGAACACCTAAACATAAAACCTAAAATAACAAATAAACCGTAAAAGCATGTAATCAAGCCAAAACAAAACCAAAACAGTTCCCCCCACACTTAAATCACACATTGTCCCAATGTGGCCCAAACAGAAGATCAGAGCAATCAGAACAATCAATAAATCTGGACAAGTGCAATAAAAGTAAAGAAGGAGAAGGGGAAAGAAAACTCCCTAAGTCATGGTGGGAGAGTAGCGGGGTCGAGCAGAGACATCTCCTCTTCAACTGCATTCAACAAGGATGGATTGCTGAGGAAAGGCTTATCATAGAGGTCATTAGAGGTTTCTGGGTTTGTTTCTTGTGCGTATTCTTGACTTATTCCCCATTGCTCCTCTGGTTCCTCTGGTTTGTAGTTACTTATCCCATATATTATCCTCTACCCTATCCTTGGCCTCATTACAACCCTAAAAAGACCTTTCGATCCTTATGTGCATGTTTATTAGGTGTTGATTTTAGAGGCTTGCCAAGTCTATCTGTTGCTTGTTTTTCATGAGTGCTTTGAGAGTATACAGTTGCCTAGACACTTGACAGATACAGTGATACAGTGCACCTTGTGAGGTTCTGTTGCTTTTGATTCACCTCTTGAGCTGATTGATTGTCTTGCCATGTTTTGAAATGCTTGGATGATTTCCATAAGTATCTGGTTTCTCTGACTCTTTGCATGTTGGATGTTGTCTACTCCTTTTCATTTCCCATGATTCATTGAGGATTGTGAAAATATGTTTGTTTTCTTGTGTGTATTATTCGTAATTTTTTAAAAAAAAAAATATTATTCCAGTAAAAAATTCATTCTCTTGTGTAGATGACAATCAAATTTTTGTTTGCAAAATCGTGAAAAAGTGAAAATGGCAGTTTTAGAAGTCAAACGTTGGAGTCACGCAAGCGCCCGAAGGCGAGTAGGAAAAGACAGCCATGGTAGGGAAGAGGAGTGAACAGATTTTCTCTTTAGCCCTCTTTCCATCTAATTTCTCAAGTCTTCCATTCCGACCTCAAGTCAAGTCAACTAGCGTAGTAGACACACAACACAACACAACACAACACAAAACAGTGCTTAAACTAACGGTACTAAAGACGAGACAATGAAACTAGAGAACAAGTTTTTTGGCTCCCTAATTCTGAATGGCTTCCCACTCCATTTGGGGCTTCCATTTTCTACTCTCTTGTTTCATGCTTCTTGTCTTGGCTTCTGTTCACCCGGTTTTGGTAGACCCCCAACAATGCCCCCAAGAGCCTGAGCCCTGTGGATTTCTCGGGAACATCTCCTTCCCCTTTACAACTTCTGACAACTCAGATTGTGGCTTCCAAATAAGAGGCTGTGACCTCGAAGATCAAGTTAAGGAAATCCAATTGACAGATCAGGAATGGTATAAAATTGATAGCATATTGAACAGCTACGGGTACAGTTATATTATAATCCATTACCCCGATTTTGACGCTTTGTCCGCTCCATGGACGCTTAAAAAGCCTTTTCAAATCGATAACAATATTACCTTCTCCAAATGCATTTCCAACCCCACTGAGAGCACAATCCATAAGCCTGACATGTCCTTATATAGAAAATGTCCTTACTTCGATATCTACTTCAGTTCTTCCTCTAAAAATGGTGATCCTCTTCCCATGTCGCCCTTCCCCTTGCCCATGCCCAGCCTTCCCTTCGCATGTTTACTTTTTCAGTTTCTTCCACTTGGACAAGTAACCATTCCCACTTGCCCTTCATGTACATTCCTATTTTCTCTTCTCCAAATTAAACTAGACTTGCCCAAATCTTGTATTCACTGTCATCCACCATATTTTCATCCACCATCACCTGGACCAGAGCCAAAGAGCAAGGAGTCTAAGAAAACAGGTACTGTGTTATGGTTATGGCCTAAAACAAACTACCCCATCACCCCAAATAAAAATCTTGTTCATGGATTCATTTTTTGACGCTAACACCATAGCGCTTTCTTTTCCCTCAGGTGTTTCTTCTGCAGGTTTATCTATTGGAATACCAAGCGCGGTTGCATTTCTTGCCCTGGTGGTTATTCTTTGGCTGTACAAAGGAAGAAACAGATATAAAGGCCTCAAAAACCAGCCAAGAAGCGCTTATTCTGCTTCCTTAAGAAACACAACGATCCGAGAAAGTGGGGCTCTCTACTTTGGGATCCCTGTCTTCTCCTATGAGGAGCTCCAACAGGCAACCAACAATTTCGATCAAGCTAGGGAACTTGGAGAAGGAGGCTTTGGAACTGTTTACTACGGTAAGAGACTCTCCACATTCTCACACTCTTGTTTCATAGAACAAATATTAGAAGGGCCAAAATTCATGCGGTTTGAAAAGCAAGTGCACAGGATATGAATCAGAGGTTGATCTAAAATCATATTTCGAAATCTTGTAATCCATAGTAGTCATGCTGCTACATAAAGAGACACATAAGATGAATTTATGTCATGTTGAATAACCTACCCTTTGATTCTTAACAACCAGGAAAGCTTCAAGACGGGCGTGAAGTTGCAGTGAAGCGTCTGTTCGAGCGCAACTACAGGCCAGTGGAGTCATTCATCAATGAAATTCAGATCCTCACACGTCTTCGCCACCAGAACCTCGTGACCCTCTATGGCTGCACTTCGCGTCACAGCCGTGAGTTACTCCTAGTATATGAATACATCCCAAATGGCACTGTAAGTTCCCATCTCCATGATGATCAAGCAAAGCCATGCCAATTGACTTGGCCTGTGAGAATGAAAATTGCCATAGAGACTGCAAGTGCATTGGCTTATCTCCATGCTTCAGACATCATTCACCGTGATGTGAAAACCAGCAACATTCTCCTTGACAGTGACTTCAGCGTTAAGGTTGCGGATTTTGGTCTCTCAAGACTGTTCCCTGATGATGTCACACATGTCTCCACAGCTCCAAGGGGAACTCCGGGTTATGTTGACCCGGATTATCGCCTGTGCTACCAGCTTACAACCAAGAGTGATGTGTACAGCTTCGGTGTTGTGCTTGTTGAGTTAATATCATCTCTCAAAGCAGTTGATATTAACAGGAGCAGGGATGATATTAAGCTGGCGAATCTTGCCATAAGGAAGATTCAAAAGGGGGCGTTTTGTGAGTTGGTTGATCCTTCCCTTGGATTTCAGTCAAATGAGAAATTGAAAAGGATGGTAATTTCGGTGGCGGAATTGGCTTTTCGGTGTTTGCAAGGGGACAAGGAATTGAGGCCCTCTATGGTTGAAGTGTTGGAGGTGCTGCAGATGATTCAAAGTGGGAGAGATGAGCCAGGGAATCTTGAGGGAATTGAAGTTCATGGTACTGCTAGAGCTACACAAAGCTATGCTCATCCACCTCTGATGCGGCCACACCAGCGCCTTCACCAAACCCAATGATGAAGGGGATACTTCGTATTTGTGGCTATCCGGTTAGAATCTGTTTGGACATAAGTTTAGAAGAATGTTAGAGAGTATTTTATACTAAAAATAAAGGTTTTTTTTTTTTTTAAGTTCTCAAAACTACTTCTAGATTGTATTCAAAGCTCTTAGTCTTTGATTTCTAATGACTGATACCGGATATTTGTTTATTATCCTCGTTGTACTATGTAGACAAGAATGATGATATTTTGATAGTGTCCTTATTTATGTTATAAAGCTTAACCATACAACTCAGAGGAGGAAAGTATGAGCAATTACGTTGTTAACAACTTTAAGTCTGCAAGCAATGCATAGTTGCATACTAATTATATTTTAGATCAGTTCGGCCTCCGTTATTCATGCCCAATTGCAAATGGTTTTATACCAAACTTAATTTGGTCCTTCTTCCATCATGTTGTCCCAAATTCAATATGGCTTCATCCCAAGCACAGTTTGGCCCTTCCATCTCCAAATGCAGCATGGTTCAATAAGAGATGCAATTTGGTTCTGTATCTGGTGTGCGCCCTTACAGTGACGCTTTTATTACATTCAATTGCAACAGGTAAAAGCTAAGAATATATGGAAAAACACAAACTAGTAACTTGATTATATTGTAATTTTTTTTTTTAATTTATCTCTTACCATTAGTTTCCTTATTTTCTAATAATTCAAAGATAGTGTTTTATGTGTTATCATCACACTGGCATTGTAACACATCACGATAGAGAAACAACGTGGTGCATACACATAATTTCAACGTTGGTTTTCATCTTCGTATGTCTTGAAACATTAACCTTCATAAAAAGAACTAAATGTTGAGAGTCAATCAGTCAAAGTGCTCTCACAGTTCCACAACAGGGGTAGGTAAGGTACAGAACAAGTGCATACGTTTGGCAGTCTTGGTAAACGGAATTCCCAAGGTTGGAAAGTGGACACGCTGTGCTTCTCAACCCTTCCAAGTCGTTTTTCCTTAGTCAACACGCGTTTAGCCGTTAACTACAACACAACAATAAATTTGTTTTGTGAAATAAAATAGAAAGTTATGACGACACAAACAATACAAGGAACATTGTTTTCTACTTCCACTCCATTCACTTTGACTCTCCAAGATGGTTCAATACTCTTTCTTGCGTTTCCTTGTTCTCAGTTTCTCTCTGCTTCCTCTCTTGGCTGAAGATGAAAAGAAATACCAAGGGAAGTGCCCAACATCTTTTCAATGCGGTGAGTTTGGGGAACTCCAGTTTCCATTCACCAACACAACAAACCTGGGCTGTGGTTTGCCCATAAAGCGTTGTGATGATGAAAATACATTTAAAGTAGTCCATTCACCAAAAACATTGTATAAACTAGAATCCATCGATGGGAGCAATTCAATCTCTGTCACAGACCACCACCTTCGGAAACTCTTGAACAACAGAAGCTGCAATGCCTTCACTTACGATCTTAAAGAAACCCTTCCTCAGAACTCCTCCATGCTGCATTTTCAGATCGAAATGAAACACAATATAACCTTGTTAAGATGCAGACACGCCCTTGATAATAGCACTAAATACATACATCACATAAGCTGTAACGACTCCGAAATCTACTACCCTTCTCAAAATTTTGGAACGGATAACAATGACATGCTTGAAAATGCATGTTCAACCCTCCAGCTTCCAATTAATTCATCGCTTCCTGTGGACAATTCCACAGACTTGTACACTTCCGTACATGCTGGATTCCGACTGCTGATATCGGTATCAGAGAATTGTCGCGAGTGTCAAGAAAATGAAGCTCAATGTCAAGTTCACAACTTTCGTTGTACCGGTACCAAAGGTATGCAACTCCAAAATTCTGAAATCACTTTGATAATAAGGCATGTTTGACATGCAATGCAACTAAGGTTGACCAAATAATCATACTCAGATAATTCAGGGTGAACTTTATTATTTCATTTTCTGAAATTTAATTCGTTATTGACCACCTTCATGATATTTAATAGGAGCAGCAGAACCCTCCAAGCGTAAACAAGCAGTTGACATTATTCTAAAATCAGGTATTTATTTATATGTTCTGAAAAATTGGAAGGTATAAATATTGTTTACTTTATATATTTTTAGCCTGCACTTCTGACTGATTTCCAAGGTAATGCATGTTTGAGGGCGGTGGTGGGTTCAGCCAAAAACATGTTCATTCCCAGGTCGAAAGCAATACAACAGAGTTTCTTCCATTTTTGACACCATGATTTTGGTAGGAGTAATGGATTCTAAATGTTTTCCAAACACACTAGTAGTAGATCACTAGAGTACTAGACTGCCTTATCATAGTTTTCACATTTTTTATCTCCTATGGATACCTCTGTTCAGTTGAAAACAGTATACTTTGCTAGTGGCATATACATGCATTGTGGAGATAATACTGTAACAATATCAATTATAGCAAATCAAAACAATTGAGATAGAACAAAATTGAGGAGATTTTGTTGATATGATTGTATTTTTACTGTAAATAGATTTTTTCGCATATATAAAAATAAGATAGAAAACGTTTTTTCTGCAGTCAAATTATACTACTTGCCTTCATAATACTAGGGAAGTTGGAACTGCTGCGAGTTTTAAGAGTTAACAACTCTTGCTTGCAGCAGTAGCCTAAATATCTTAAGAAAAATCCAAAATATACTGAACTAGGGTTAAATTTTATGGCTTTTACAATTTAAAATTTAGGTGCTGTTTTTGTTTGTAATGAAAATATCATCTATAAGCTTCGTAAGGAAATTTGTAAGGAGCAAATTTTGAATTGTCAAACAGATTTCATGTTCTTGTATTTTCATTCATGCTACAATACACATGTGATCCACTAATTGGCATTTCAAAGCTTTTTTTTTTATATTATTTATACTACACTACAGGTTTAGTAGCTGTTGGTTTTGTAAGCGTGATCATATTAAGTTTGATAATTCTGCTTTTCCATAAACGGAGAAACAGACCTTCGGACGACCAAAGCCAATCAAGAAAAAATCATTGTAGTCCTACTCCTAACTCAAATTCAATCCCAGAGAGTGGCAGTAAGTTGTTTGGAATCCCTGTCTTCTCCTATACAGAGCTAGAGAAAGCAACAACAAATTTTGATGAAGCTAAAGAACTTGGAAGTGGAGGCTTTGGGACTGTTTACTACGGTCAGCTATTGGCACACTTCATAAACTAAAGGCTAAAAGGCTTAAATGCACTTTTTACCACTTATGTTACACGATTTCACGAATGCTGCCTAACTTTCTAAAAGGTTTAAATGCACTTTTTACCACTTATGTTACACGATTTCACGAATGCTGCCTAACTTTCTAAATTGCACATTTTTCCACCCCATTAAGTAACCATCTTTGTTAGTTGATAACTCATGTAGCATGTGTGACACATTATGTCACACATCAACAATCCATGATAAGAATTAACGTGATACATCATTGGTCAACATGTCATATCAGTGACAATAGTTAATATGTCATGTTAGTGATTAACAAATGGCACCACACGATAATCAACTACATAATGACAAAATATACAAAAATTTGAAGGTTGAGTGGCAAATGTGCAATTTTCAAAGTTAGGCGACGAAATTTGTGAAATCGTGAAACATGGGTGACAATAAGTGGAATTAAGCCTAGTTTCTATCTAAACATAAAATCAATCATATAGCTTTCCCTCCTTATGTGATTAGTTGTTTGATCTCTCAACAACCAGGAAAGCTCAATGATGGACGAGAAGTAGCTGTGAAGCGCCTATACGAGCACCACTACAGACGGATGGAACAGTTTATGAATGAAATAGAGATCCTGACACGTCTGCGACACAAAAATCTCGTGTCCCTTTATGGCTGCAGTTCACGGCAACACCGTGGACTACTGCTTGTGTATGAATATGTACCAAACGGCACTGTTGCATCTCATCTGCATGGTGATTCAGCCAAGGCTAGCTTCTTGCCGTGGCACATTCGAATGAGAATTGCCATAGAAACTGCGAGTGCATTGACTTATCTGCATGCTAGTAGCATCATTCACCGCGATGTGAAAACCAACAACATTTTACTTGACAACAATTTTTGTGTTAAGGTTGCAGATTTCGGGCTTTCGAGACTGTTCCCCAACAATGTGACACATGTTTCCACGGCTCCACAAGGAACACCGGGGTATGTTGACCCTGCATATCACCAATGCTACCAGCTAACGAACAAGAGTGATGTGTATAGCTTTGGGGTTGTGCTTGTTGAGTTGATATCATCTCTCAAAGCAGTTGATATAACAAGGAGTAGGGATGAGATCAACTTGTCAAATTTGGCCATAAAGAAGATAAAAAATGGTGCATTTAGTGAACTGGTGGATCCTTCCCTTGGCTTTGAATTGGATAAAGAAATTAAGAGGAAGACATTTTCAGTGGCGGCATTGGCTTTTCAATGTTTGCAAGAGGACAAGGATTTGAGACCTTCCATGGTGGAAGTTTTGGAGTCACTCAAGAAAATTGAAGGTGGGGGAGGATGAGCCAAGCATCAAGAGGAAGCACAAGTTCGAGGTGCTACAACCTCCCTGTGATGACAATACACAATTGACACCACAATGCCTTCTCAAAAGAACAGTCCGAGTTTTATTTTAACTGATAAGGGGATTGTAGTCTACTACACCAAATGTTAGTTATTAGCCACTTAGAGTATTTGATTGCTCGATATTTTTTCTATTCTAGTATTTTTTTTTTACGGAAATGGTTCATGTAATATCCTAAATCTAATAATAAAGATTAATTTACATGTATAATTTTTTGTTGTCAAACATTATTTTAATATATATAGAAATCGAACATGAGACGTAGGTGATTTTTTGTTGTCAAATAAATAGATTAATTTTTTGTTGTCAAATAAATAAATAAAATAAAAATTACATGAAATAAATTAAAAAAAAAATTAATTATTAAAGTAAGTGATTGTGGCATACAAAGCATAGAGAGAGGGCGTTTTGCAGATCACGCCTCCCCCATGCGTTTTTAGTTGGTGACATGGCAATGAACACAAAACGCCTCCCCACCATGTAGTGGGCGACGAGGCAACGAACAGAAAACGCCTCCACCCTATGCGCCTTGTTCAAAACTACACAAAGTCCCTCCCCCATGCGCCTTCTTGTGTTAGCTGTTTGTCATGAACTTTGCTTCTGCATAGATAATCTGCTTATGTTCAATTCAACATCATGAACAGGAGGCAACATCAGACTCTGCCAACGAAGCTGGATCAAATCATTATTTTTTATTCCATATTTGGTTAGATAAAAGATCATGCATGAATAAAAACGAAAGCAATTGCTCAAAAATTATTTAATGTACTTGGTGTATATAGATGGATGTTTCTTATTTATAAAAATGAAGATTATTTTTCATAGCTTGTTAACTACATGAAGGCGAAACACTATTTATAAAAATTTTATGAGTTTTTTGTAATAAGAGCTCACAATCAATTAAATGTCTAAGTATTTTATAGCAATTTTACTGTCTGAAGGTTAAGAAAATTGTAATATTAGAAGGGTACATGAGATAACAATAAAATAGGGGTGAGATTAAGTTAATAAAAATAAAGCTTACATTACATTGGGGTTAACTTTTTTGTATTAACTTAATCTACAAATAACAAGTTTGCTGGGATCCTTGTAAAAAAGTAATTTTTTCCCAATAATTTGCACATCTAAACATGGACCTTAATAGACTGTTGTTTACCTTTCTTCCTCCTTATAGACCAATGATTGAATTATTCAAGTCTTAAAAAGTAAAATTGCTATTGATGCAAAATAAAAGTCAGAATTCATTGAATTACCTCATAACATATCCAGCCTACAGATACGATGACAGCTGCTGCCAAAGCATTAGTAAACTTCCGGTAAATATCCAAGATTGAAGAAGGCGCATGGGGGAAGGCGCCATCTGCAACACACCAAACCCCCCTTGCGCTTTCTGTTTTTCGCGTGTGCCGCCCCTGCCACATAATTAATTGAAGGTGTAAGGAGAGAGACGCCATCTGTAAAACGCCCTCCCCTACACTTTATATGCCACGTCAGCGCCCACGTGTCAAAAATCACATATTTTAACGATTAGTTTTTTTTTAATTTATTTTGCGTAATTTATATTTTTTTTTATTTATTTCAGCCAAAAAGCCGATATATTCTCTTTGGTGTGATTAGTTTAGGGTTACGTGTATACAAACCTTTAATAAATCTTCTATTCTAGAATTCATGCATAAAAGAGGTAATACAAAAATAAATAAAAAAAAATTAAAAAGCTATCACATATATATAAATGAAATGATCTCTTTCTTGTTTGGTGCCTAGATGAGTTTTACTTCCTCTGCCCGGTAACTTTTTCTTCTTCTGGTGAAGTACTAAATTTTCTTGGGTACATAAAAGTTACTCTCAAACTTTAACTTTCACTATCACTCTTATGTTAAAAGTGCCAGAATTTCCAATTTGACTATCGTTTTATTTTTCTACTTGAGGGGTAATAAACTAAAAATAATGTTTGGGCAAATTTTCTCCAAAAAAAAATACTTTGAGAGAATAAAATCGGAAGAACAAACAAAATAAATTTCTCCTTAAACATAAGCTATTTTGTAAAACATTTCTTTTATTAATTTTTTCAAAATCTTATTTTTAATTTATGTATAAGATAACTTTAACTTGTAAAAATACTTATTTTAATTTTTCTTTCCCAAAAATTCTTGTAAATAAACTTATCAAACACACTTAAAACTATTTCATACCAAACTTCGTTTGTTTTGTCTAGAAAAGAAAAAGCCTCCCACCATAAACGTGTTTATTTCTCTACAATCCAAAGTATCTTTATAAGATGTGACAATTAAGGTTGTGGCAAGCTAATAAGGCTGTCTTGGACACCGTCCAACTCTTAAATTCTTTAATATATATTTTTAAATAATTAATTTTAATTTAAATAGTTAAGTAATCTGTTTAATTATATTATTTAGAATTAATTTATTATTATATATACATTAATATTATTATAAGATTATTAATTTTAGAAATTCTATTATAATTTAAAAACATATATTACAATTGCTTTGTCTTTCAATATAAATACGATATTGAAATGAATATGAAGATTAAATTTCATAAAAAGAAAAAGGTATATTTATATTAAAAAATGATAGTAATAAGATCATAATTTCATAAGAACATCGCATTAAAAATTGATTCTTTTAATTCTTTTAAATATTTTTTTAGCTTTATTATTCTATACAAATATCAAATTATTTTATTTTATTTTATTCACAATTTATTTTAAACTATAAAGTTACTTTGAAATTTTTTATTTGAATATCTATAAATAATATTTTGAAAGAAATATACTACTAATGTTAAATTAGTGATCGTGACTTTTTTTTCTCTGAATTAAAATTAATAAAAAAAATATATTAACAAAAAAAATTAGTTTTTATTAAATTATATATTGAAATTTATTTTTTAAAATATATACAATATATGTTTATAGAATATTATAAATAATACTTGTAATTATTGTCATTATTATTTTTTAAAAGTAATGTTTTATATTTTATTTGAGTTTAAGTTGTTAAATAGTAATTGAATAAGTGAGAAATTGAAATTTCTTAATTAAAAATCTTATCATTTAAAAATTAAAAAAAAATATTAATTAATTATATAAAATTTAAATTTAAATAAATTGTTGCCTTATATATGTAAAAATTTGTTAGATACAATCCTATTGATAACTTTGGCCTACACTTAATTTTTAGCTTTCTTAGTTAACATATACTATATTCTACTGGTTAATATATGCAAGAATTTTACTATTGAAGAATATTATTTTCTCATAAACTTATTTCAGATAATAACTCATATTTTATATTAAATTTAAACAATTCAATCGTTAAATTAAAAGTTCTTAATACATAAATCAAATCTGTAAATTTTTTAAGAATTTAAAAATTTTAATATTTTATTTTATTAATTCAACCTATAAAATATTTTTATGATCATTTGTCAATTTGAATTAATAAAATAGAGTATCAAACAGTTTTTAAATTTTTTAAAAATTTACAGACTAGATTTATGGATTAAGAACTTTTAATTTAACAGTTGAATCATTAAAATCTAAAGTAGAGTATGAATAATTGACCGTAGCAAATCTATGTAGACTTATTCTTATACCTTGAAATTTTATACGTTAAACTTTAACATAAAACATGAGTTATTAAATGGAATAAGTCTAAATATACTTACTCTTAGTGTAAAATGATATCTCTTAGAATTTTTTACACAAATAATACTATTTTAAATTTTTTTACCCAAATAGCAACTGTGCAAATTTATTTTCCCAACTAGCATCATTTACTGTTCACGTTCTTGATTTCAAAACGGGCTGTTCTGAAATCAGAACGGGTCGTTCTGGATTAAAAAATAACACATGAAAAATGGCTCAGAACGGGCCGTTCCAAAATCAAAATTAGCACATAAAAAGTGAAACCAGAACAGCCCGTTCTGCATCCAGAACGGGCCGTTCTGGCCTATAAATAAAATATTTTTGGATTTGATTTTCACTTATCAAATACCAAAACTCAAAGACTACCATCAAGTGATTAAATTTATTGAATATTAACATTATAAATATAACTAAATAAATTTATTAAAATTTATTACAACAATAAAGATCAATGGTGGCGGAAACTGAATTCATGACCAATATTTGGATATGTCTTCCTAGGGTGACTAGGGGTGTGACAATAAGAACAATTTTTTACACGATTATGTTGTTCTCTAATGTCCATCTCTATTCTAATCCTGCTAGACTTTGGTCGATCCTTGAAAGTTCTCTTGAGTTCTGGATTTGGCCACAAAGTTGAAAGAAACGCAACATTCAAAAAAAGTTTGACCCGCTGAGAGATTTACAATAAGGTTAAATGAAATGTGGTATGATTGCGGCAAGTTCTAGAAAGGTATACGAAGGACAGTTTGGAGAGCTCCGACATGAAGATTATTGGCCTACTTACACTGGTTCAACTTTGTGGCCAAATCCAGAACTCAAGCGTCGACCCAAGTCCAGCAGGATTAAAACAGAAATGGAAATTAGAGAACAACATAGTCAGTTTCTGCCACCATTGATCTTTATTGTTGTATTGAATTTTAATAAATTTATTTAGATATATTTATAATGTTAATATTCAATAAATTTAATTATTTGATGTTAGTTTCTGAGTTTTGGTATTTGATAAGTAAAAATCGAAAAAAAAAATTATTTGTAGGTCAAAACGGCCCGTTCTGGTTCCACTTTTTATGTGTTAATTTTGATTTTGGAACGGCCCATTCTGATCCATTTTCCATGTGTTATTTTTTAATCCGAAACGGTCCGTTCTAATTTCAGAACGGCCCGTTCCGAACGTGAACAATTAATGATGTTAGTTGGAGAAATAAATTTGCACAGTTACTATTTGGATAAAAAAAATTTAAAATAGTATTATTTAAGTAAAAAAAACTCTATCTCTTACATATATAAATCTTTGTATAAATATCTCTTTTTTATGTTTTAGATTTTATGTCTTCATTTTGTAGTGGTTTTATACATCTAAGACTAAAACATAAAAAAAGTGTCATTCTAAAATCCAAAAATTTTAAATATAAAAATTAAAATAAAAAGTTGACATAAATATAAAGACCAAATATTTAATTAAACTATTAAATATTATATTTTCTCTTTTATAAATA